CTCCAAGATGGCCCCAAGAGCGCTCCCAAGACTCCCAAGAGCGCCCCAAGAGGGCCCCAAGAGGCCCCCAAGAGGCCCCAAGAGGCTCCCACGAGGCACCCAAGACGGTCCAAGAAGCTCCCGGGACCGCCAAGAGGCCCCCAAGACGCCCCAAGAGACCTCAAAGAGTATCCCAAGAGACATCCCAAGAGACTCCGCGAGGCATTCAAGAGGCCTTTGACTCTTCTGATCGCCCTTATCCTCCTCCTCCTCCTCCCCCTCATCATCACCACCACCATCATCATCATCATCATCATCATCATCATCATCATCATCATCATCATCATCATCATCATCATCATCATCATCATCATCATCATCATCATCATCATCATCATCATCATCATCATCATCATCATCATCATCATCATCATCATCATCATCATCATCATCCACGCCCGGCGGGCGCGCAGCGCGCGCGGGCGAGCGCGGGGGATGGATCCCCCGCATATGCCCGTTTTCCGTGTCCTCATCCTCCTCATCCTCCTGTTTTTCCCAACCATCCTGTGGTGCCGGGTCCTCGTTTTAAAAAGACAGTCCCCACGTTCCTCTCCTGTGTTCACCCTCCTCCTCCCTCCTCCCTCCTCCCTGCGTTTCGCCGACTCAGTACAGCGCTTCGTGGCCCCAGAGGGGGCTCCACCGAAGGTCCCACTGGCACCGCCCGCATGCGTCCGCCACCACCCAGTACAGCCCTTGCTCCCTGCGTTTCACCCACACAGTACAGCGTTTCGTGGCCCCATAAGGGGGCTCCACCGACGGTCCCCGCGGCACCGCCCACATGCGCCCGCCACCACCCAGCACAGCCCTTGTTCCCTGCGTTCCACCCACCCAGTACAATGTTTCGTGGCCCCATAAGAGGCTCCACCGAAGGTCCCACTGGCACCGCCCGCATGCGTCCGCCACCACCCAGCACAGCCCTTGCTCCCAGCGCTTCACCCACCCAATACAGCGCTTCGTGGCCCCAGACCACCGAAGGTCCCACTGGCACCGCCCGCATGCGTCCGCCGCCACCCAGCACAGCCCTTGCTCCCTGCGTTTCACCCACCCAATACAGCGTTTCGTGGCCCCATAGGGAGCTCCACCGAAGGTCCCAGTGGCACCGCCCGCATGCGTCCGCCACCACCCAGGACAGCCCTTGCTCCCTGCGCTTCACCCACCCAGTACAGCGCTTCGTGGCCCCATAGGGGGCTCCACCGAAGGTCCCAGTGGCACCGCCCGCATGCGTCCGCCACCACCCAGCACAGCCCTTGCTCCCTGCGCTGCACCCACCCAGAACAGCACTTCGTGGCCCCAGAGGGGGCCCCACCGAATGTCCCACTGGCACCGCCCGCATGCGTCCGCCACCACCCAGCACAGCCCTTGCTCCCTGCGCTTCACCCACCCAATGCAGCGCTTCGTGGCCCCAGGGGGAGCTCCACAGGAGGTCCCAATGGCACCGCCCGCATGCGTCCGCCACCACCCAACACAGCCCTTGCTCCATGCGTTTCACCCACCCACCCACCCAATACAGCGTCTCGTGGCCCCATAGGGAGCGCCACCGAAAAAAATATTCACAATTGCGGTACTCACAACTGCATATGATTGGGTCTATCGCCAGGCGAATTCAACCTCCTCCTCCTCCTCCTCCTCCTCCTCCTCCTCCTCCTCCTCCTCCTACTCCTCCTCCTCCTCCTCCTCCCTCCTCCTCCTCCTCCTCCTCCTCCTCCTCCTCCTCCTCCTCCTCCTCCTCCTCCCTCCTCCTCCTCCTCCTCCTCCTCTTCGTCCTCATATTCCTCCTCCTCCTCCTCCTCCTCCTCCTCCTCTTCCTCCTCCTCCTCTTCCTCCTCCTCATTATCATCAGCACCATCATCAGCATGAACACCAGCATCATCGTTATCACCATCACCCCCAACACATCCATCATCATCACCACCACCAACACAACACACACCACCAAAACCACCACTACCACCACAATCATCACCAACCGCATCAGCATCAACATCGTCATCATCATCACCACAGTCGTCATAATCATCACCGACATCACCATCACCATCACCATCACCACCACCACCGTCACCATCACAATCACCATCACAATCATCATCATCACCATCACCACCACCAACACCATCACCATCACCATCATCATCACCACCACCATCATCAACACAACCACCGTCTTCATCATCATAACATCGTAATCAGCGTCGTCATCATCATGACCAGCATCACCATCACCACCATCATCGCATACAGCATCAGCATCAACATATTCACAAGCATCACCATCATCATCAGCATCATCAGTAGCATCACCATCATCAGCATCATCACCATCACCACCACCCCTACCATCACCAACATCATCACCATCAGAAGCATCATCATTATCGGCGTCAGCAGCATCACCAGTACACTCACAACATACGCTAACACATCTTCCAGTAAGAAACTGAGATCCAGCTTCGCTCAACGTCCTTGTCCTCTTGCGAGGGCCAGTTTTGAAGCGTGCAGCGTCTTAGCGCAACGCGGCGCCAATGTTCGTGGTTTTGATAAAGATTGCGCCCTTGATGATGCCGATTGCGCGGGGCCGGGGAAACTGCAGCAATGTATGGAGTTTTTGGATCCGCGGGTCGAGAGCTTAAATCTTCCGGTCGAAGCTAAGCGGGCCGCGCACAGCTTTAATTAACAGAGGGGGAAGGCAGAAGGAGGGGCCTCACGTCAAGGCCAGGAGGGGGCAAAGCCCCGGAATCAGGCGGTGCCGAAGACGATGCGCTTGCCAAGGAACGCCTTGTACACGAACCCGGCGGCGAAGTACCGGAAGAAGACAAATGCTGTAGTGGTGGTGCCGTCAAGGGCGCGTCATGTACACCAGCCTCAAATTGCCGCGGGACAGGAGCACCGCTGGGCCAGAGTGCAACGCTGTGCCACCGAACAGGATGCGGGAGCGGGTCCAGGCCGTGGTTGTCCAAGGTGCCAGGGACACAGGGTACGAGAGCCAGAGTCTGAGGCGCGGCAGTCAGGTCATGCCAGGATCATGCCGCCTATAATGACCGACGGGGTGCCGATGTGCCGCAATGTATGAAACACAGCATGCAGGAACATGTGGAGAAAAATGTGGCGGGGGATCTGGACGAAGACCGGCGGGAAATCTGAAGGAAGACCTGGAGAAAGATCTGGGGAATATCTACAGTAGGGGAAAGATCTCGAGGAAGACCCTGGTAAAGATCTGGGTGAAGATCTGCACGATGAGTTGGAGAAGATCAGGGGGAAGATCTGGAGGTGAGATCTGGAAGAAGATCTGGTGGAAGATCTGGGGGAGAGATCTCGAGGAAGACCCCGGTGAAGATCTGGGTGAGGATCTGGGTGAAGATCTAGAGGAAGATCTGGGTGAAGATATGGGGTAATATCTGGAGGAAGATCTGGAGAAAGATCTGGAGGAAGATCTAAAGGAGAGATTCCGGGGAAGATCTGGGTGGATATCTGTGGGGAGATCTGGAGAAGAGTTGGGGGAAATTCTGGTAGAAGATTTGAAGAAAAATCTGGGAGAGATCTGGAGGAGAGATCTCGGGGAAGATCTGGGTGAAGATCTGGAGGAGATCTGGGAAAGATCTGGAGGAAGATTTGGAGAAAGAACTGGAGACACAATTGGAGAAGATATCTCGAGGAAGATCTGGGTGAAGATCTGGTCGAAGATCTGGAGGAAGATCTGGAGAAGATTTGGGGAAAGATCTAGGGGAAGATGTGAAGAAACATCTGGTGGAGGATATGGAACAGAAATCTTGGGAGATCTGGGCAAAGATCTGGGTGAAGGTTTGGGGGAAGATCTGGACGAAGATCTGGGGGCAGATCTGGAGGAAGATATGGAGGAGATCTAGAGGAGAGATCTCTGGGAAACTCTGGGTGAAGATCTGACGGAAGATCTGGTAAAGATCTGGGGCAAGATCTGGAAGAAGATCTGCAGAAAGATCTGGGGGAAGATCTGGAGGAGAGATCACGGTGAAGATCTGGGTGAAGACCTGCGGGAAACAGGAGACAGGAGGAGGATGGAGGGGATCCAGTGGGGGGGATCTGGTGGAAGATCTGGACGTAGATCTGGAGGAAGATCTGGAGGAAGATCTGGGAGAAGATCTGGTGAAGATCTAGGCAGATGAACCAGGAAGATCTAGAGGAAGATCTGGAAAAGGATATGGGAAAGATCTAGGAAGATCTGGGGAAGATCAAGGAGAAGATCTGAAGGACGATCTGGAAATGATCTAGGAAGACCTGGGGAAGATCTGGAGGAAGATGTGGGGAAGATCTGGAGGAAGATCTGGAGAAAGATCCGGGGAAGATCTAGGAAGATCTGGGGCAGATCTGGAGGACGATCGGGGGGGATATCTAGGGGGAGATCAAGAGGAAGTTCTCGAGGCACATCTGGGAGAAGATACAAAAGATCCGAAGGAAGAACAGGAAGAAGATGCCAGCGTGAAGAAACTGGGCCAGCTTTGGGGAATGTGTTACCAAAATGTAAGAATATTTGAGACCCAGCTTGGCGGAAAGGAGTGTCTTAACAGAAGATATAAGTGTATCATCGTCATCATCGGCATCATCATCAACATCATCATCAGCATCATCATCAGCATCAGCAGCATCATCATCATCTTACCACCACCACCACCGTCATCATCGTCATCATCCTTATCCACAACATCATCAACAGCATCATCATCATCATCATCATCATCATCATCATCATCATCATCATCATCATCATCATCATCATCATCATCATCATCATCATCATCATCATCATCATCATCATCATCATCATCATCATCATCATCATCATCATCTTCATCATCATCATCATCTTCCTCCTCCTCCTTCAATTTCTACTCCTCCACGACGACGACGACGACGGCGGACGGCGGCGGCGGCGGCGGCTACCGCGACCGCCGGCGGCGGCGGCCAGCGGCGGCGACGCCCGGGGGCGCCTCGCGGCAGCCCGCCGGGTCGCGGGACAGGGCCCAGACGCGGCCGCGGCACCCGCAGGCCGCGGAGGAGACCGTCCCCCTCGAGGCCGTCGAGCCGGCCGAGGGCGCCTTCTGCAAGCTGCAGCCGCCGTGGTCGCCGCCGCTGTCGCCGCCACCGTGGTCGCCGCCGTGGTCGCCGCCGTCGTCGCAATCGTCGTCCTCATCGAGGCGCCTCGCCGATGGTCCTCCCCCTCCTCCTCCTCCTCCTCCTCCCCCTCGGCATCCTCCTGCGGGGGAGAAGGGGAAGAGGAACAGGAGGAGGAGGAGGCAAAGGAAGAGGAGGAGGAGGAGGAGGAGGAGGAGGAGGAGGTAGAGGAGGAGGAAGAGGAAAAGGAGGAGGAGGAGGAAGAACGATCCACTGGGGAAGAGCGTCCAAGTTGCCCACACACGCCCTGTAGTTGAAGAAATCGAGACTCGAGGGGCCCTCCGACCAGGACCCAGGAACCTCAACAGCTACCCAGGGCAGGCGTGGATGGAGGAGCAGGAGGACGGGGAGGACGGAAGAAGGGGGGGAGGAGGAGGAGGAGGAGGAGGAGGAGGAGGAGGAGGAGGAGGAGGAGGAGGAGGCAGAGGAGGAGGGCCACGGTCCATCCAAGATGCATCAGCGATGCTGCAATGCACCCTCCCGTCCCAAATTCCCTCGTCATAGTTAAGTCCCGACAAGCCTTCGAGTTCACTATCAGAAGCACCCCCTTTGCAAGACCAACACCCTAGGAGCATGCCGTCCAGGCGAGAGCCCAATTTTGAAAGAGAACTGAGTTGCATACTTCCCGCGCCGAATCAGGAACGCGAAAGGGTACGATCACACACTTCATCGAGGTGTCCAGCGAGATCCCAGTCTTGCAAAAGAGCCGCCCATCATCTGTGCAAGCGCTGCACCACTTTCACCTGTGGCCATGAGCATCGAAGAAATATCGAGCGGGAGCCTCATTATGTAAAGGCATCGCCCCCCAGCCGTGCTGCAGCTGCTGCATCTGCTGAAGCTCCTGGACTTCGAACGCACCGGGGCCTCAAGCGAAAGCGCACCATGTTGCAAAGGCACCGTCGGCTTTCCCACCATCCCCGAAGCACTCAGCAACCCGGCAAGCTGTTCCTTGATGTGCTCCGCCATCTCGGCCGGAAAGGAGACCTCAGACAGGAAAACGAGGGTCCGGACAAGACGCGCGGTCGCCTCGGTTGGCCACAGTGGCCCCAGGCGGCCCGCTGAGCGCGCGGCACAGAATAGCAACTGGCGCATCTCCAGGCACACGAGATGTCTCAGCGTAACAGACGAGGGCCTGAAAGTGGGAGAGCGGCCGGCGCGTGCTGCGCAGCACTGGGCACCGAGGGGCACCTCGTTCTGGCCCCAGGACAGGCCGCCACCAGAGAGGCATGCCCTTCCCTCTGGCGCCGTCGAAAGGCGGAGAACACCGCGTGACATTCCACGGCCCTGTCTTCGAAGCGTTGGCCGACTGATCTAGAAGACACCCCTCGAGGATCACCCAAGACATCAGTCTGCCCTCTCTGAGCCCTGGGCCAGGACGGAACGGGGGTCCACGGCGATCGGGGGGGGTCCTGAAAGCAAGATCGTGAAGCTGGGCCAGGCCAGCGAAAAGCCTCATCCTCACGGGAACGTGAGGGTGACACGTGGCCCGAATCAACAGTAATGGCGCCTGAGCTCACGGCGTTGACGAGGCCTCCCGACGGCGACGAAGTAGTCGTGCACACGGGCGTCTCCTACCCCACAGTAAGTGGCGCCTACGGTCGCCACCAGGTGCGCTCAAAGGTTGCGCACGACCCCGCACTCGCACAAGACACTGGGCTCGAGGCTGTAGCCCCCGCCAGTGATGAGAAGCAGGCCACGCACCGAGAGAGTCGCTCCCTCAGCACCCAACACATCCAAGTCGAGACCACTGGGTCCCGCAGAGTCTTTGAGGCAGAGGGGGGAAAAGCGGATGGGCTGGCCCTGAGGCGGGTGAACGATGACAACAATGGCCCCGTGGGGTCACAGACATGAAGGGGCCCAATAACACACTAAAGGCGCCGTAATTTCACATACTTTATTTGCTGGACTTCCGTGTTCTCCTCCGCTTCCCGTATCTTCCATGGCTTAACATCGACGATTAGTTGTGTCTGCGTGTTTTTCCCTTCTGAACGCAAACTCCACCTGGCGGGGCGCGCAACCCCATCCAGAACCTGGCCTGAATGGCAACGCCGCTGGCGAGAGGCCTCCACCCTCCACGATGGTTTCTGGAATCCAGAAGGGGCGTCCACCCATGGCTCGGGCACCACCGCGAGGCTCTGGAGATGGGGCACCCGCCCTGAGGCCCTGTGCACCGCACCGGGAGAAGGACCACACGAGCAGTCACTGGGGCAGCAACTTGTTCATAGGGGACCACGCGTTCCCGTGGAGGGTCTCGACCTCCAAGGAGGAAGCCTCGGGGGGGGGCTGCAGGACTTTCGGGGCGGCCTCGAGCGACAGCTCTCGTTGATAAGTTTAGGTCGGGCATGTCCCCCTACGGGCGGATTTTGGACGAAAAATCAAGAATACCTCCAAAAAGCCCAGAAGATGCTCAAACTATGCTCAAAAGATCGTCCCTGGGTTATGTTTTTTTTTGTTTGACAATTTTTGAATATTCCCCCTGCAGAGGGACAGGCCCGACGTACTGATGAGTGCCCCTCGCCAGGCCGAGGGGACTACTGCACAGGAAACCCAGCTCTGACCGCAGAAGGACGGTCGACGAGAAGGCGAGGCACCCTGAGAAGATGCGACCTGCCCCGAGTCCTGCTGCGCAAGGCCCGTCCTTGCGGCAGGTGGACAAGCAAGATCGCCCCCCCTCCAGCCACGGGGGGGGCTAGACAGGAGGCCTGGAACATGGCCCTGATATCTGGCCGGCTCGGGGGGGCCAGCAGATCGCCCTGGGTAAGAAGGGAAGAGGGCCACCACGTGCCTGCAGGAGCGCGCTGGCCAAGAGAAGAGAAGCCCACGGAGATGCATGGCATGTACAAGCTGTGCATAAGGAAGCCTGCGGAGGGGAGAGGGCACGGACACGGGCACGCGCAGGCCGACATATGCGTGCGACTGCCCGTGAAAGCGAATGCTGAACCCAGCAGCGTGGAGAGCATGAACCACCGTGCAGTGGGAGCTCGACCACAAGAAACCCCAGGGCGTCCATTGACTTTTGGTGTGGGAACGCCACGCTTCTCACAGCAGAACCACCGAAACCCAAGAAACCCAAGAAACACCCTAGAGGCAAGCAGGGTGCTTCTTTGCACGGGTTTCCACTGTGTCGGCAGGACGCCACCACTTGGCGGTACGCACAAGGGGGTGGAGGGAGGGGGGAGGGCTTCTTAGAAGGAGGCTGCTTCTTAGAAGGCGCCAGCCTCACATCTATAGATCAGGCCCGCGCCTTCCAAGAAGCAGGTGTGCTTCCAAGAAGCCCTCCCCCCTCCCCCCACCCGCCTCTGCGCGTGGCTGAACCGCCATGGGCTTCCACTGTGCCGGCAGGACGCCACCACGTGACAGCAGCCCTCGCACCCCGAGGCTCCGCGCGGCCGCTCCTCCCTTCCAGGCCCGCCTCGGGGCCAAGAGGAAACGCGTGCTGCGCGCCCGCCCTCCGCCGGCCGAGCGGGGGGGGGGCTTTCGGGACGGAGGCTGGCCAGAGAGCACTCGCCACCGCCGGTCTGTGGAAAGGCCTGCGGCCCAGGGCGGCCTCGAGGCCAAGCGCCGGCGCGCGTCAGCAAGACGCCACCACGAATCAACCCGCGACCCGGGCTCGGACGCCAACAGCAGGCTCTCCCCGAAGGCGTGCCTTCCACCAGCGTGGGGGGGGCTGCCAACGAACGCTGGCCTCGCTGAAGTTATGAATTATGCTACCCTTCCCCCCCTGCAGAGCTGCCTCACGTCACGTTTCCTCTGCAGGGGGACTGGTTGGCCAACCTTGCCCGCCTCGGCTCGCTCGCGCGGCAGCAGTTCCTCTGCGTCGGAGGCAGGGGGCGCGCCAGTGCTTGCGGCGGCTGCACCTCCAGCGCTTCCAGAAGCCGCGGCACCAGCAGAGGAGGCGGACTCCTGGCTGGCCCTGCCAGGGTCGACAGCAGCAGCATGCATGGCCTCCCCCCCCTCACCGTTCCTCTTCTTCACTGCGATGCGAGTGGCCTGTGCCGCTTGCGCATCCTTGGAAGCACGCGCCGTCTCGGCAGCCTTGGCGAAAAAAAAAGATCGCGGGCAAGGTCCTGGAGGAGGAGGAGGAGGCGGAGGAGGAGGAGGCAGAGGAGGGGGAGGGGGAGAGGGAGGAGGAGGAGGAGGAGGAGGAGGAGGAGGAGGAAGAGGAGGAGGAGGAGGAGGAGGAGGAGGGGGAGGGGGAAGGAGGAGGAGGAGGAGGAGGAGGAGGAGGAGGGAGGAGGAAAGGAGGAGGAGGAGGAGGAGGAAGAGGAGGAGGAGGAGGAGGAGGAGGAGGAGGGGGAGGGGGAAGGGGAGCGAGAGAGAGGGAGCGGATGGAGGATACTCTCTGGACGCCCGGCCTTGCCAGTGGGGGACGGCAGGCCCCCAGGGTAGAGCCCAGCCGGCAGGTAGGCGGCCCACGCGGGGGCGTCGGGCAGCTGCCGGAGTCGCCTGGCGAAGGGCAGACGGACAATCGGGGTGGACCCAGACATCGGGCGTCTCGAAAAAAAATCGGGACGGAGGTTTTTCTCTGTTTTCGGCCTCTCGGGGTCCTCGCCGGGCCTCGGGACCGTCAAAAAACGGCTCGGGGTGAAGAACCAGTCCCGGGGACGTGGTCGGGAAATCTGGGACCCGTGTCTCGAAAAAATCGAGACGTCGGATGTATGTGGAGGGACGGGGAACAAGCAAGGAGAAAGGTGCATGGGGAGGAGGAAGGGGGAGGACGAGGGAGGAGGAAAAAAGAATTTTGGACGAATGCCCTGCCATCAAAGCCTAATTCTCTGATGCGAACCTGCACAGCCCGAACGCAAGCATCTTTTCGGATCGGGACCTCGCTGTAACTCGACAACCGGTCCTAGGCTTTGCCTTACGTACTGACGACGCGAAGACCCAACACGGAACAAATCAAAGTGGCCGAGGGTTGAAAACCTTCACAGCACATGCGCAGAACTAGCCAGCTGGAGGAGGAGGGAGCGAAAGGAGAAGAGGGTAGCCCTCTTCACGACTTTTCGATTGTCGTCGTCCTCGCGACCACCACAGAACCTATCAAAATATCCGCATCATCTGAACAAATTCGTCGACCCTCGATCCTGGATCCTCGACCTCCAAGAGTGCCTGGCGACACCCTGTGCAGGTGGCATTGGCATTGCCCGATTCACCCTCGCCTGTGCAGGGAGTGATCAGACAAGGCCATTGGGTTAACACCTCCTCCTACTCCTCCCCTTCCTCCTCCTCCTCCTCCTCCTCCTCCTCCTCCTCATCCTCCTCCTCCTCCTCCTCATCATCATCCTCCCCCTTCCCTCCTCGTCATCTATCCTTCCTCTTTCTGAATAACTACTCCCTGTCGTAGGTCGGGACAGGCGTTTCGCATGAGACATCCTTGCCACTTATGATCATGAAGCTAGAAATCTGTGCCAAGATCAAGGATGGAACGGTAAGTTTTTGTATGCGCCTCTCGTCGTAGCGCCGCGCACATTCGTTGTAAAACATTGCTACAATGACATGGATGGAAAGGAGTGGTCTTCAAAATGTAACTCTCGCCTCAGCGGCGCGCGCAGCAAGTTTGCGACAGATTTGACGATGGAGGGGGGTCGTTTTCAGAATGCGGCTCTCTGTTTAGCGCCGCATACGTTAGTCTTACACCATCCAACATCACATATGGAGGGCCCTTCCTTGCCAAAACGCGGCTCTCGCCTGAGACCCGCGCACATGCATCCTAACAGTTCATCACGGCTTCCAAAGATGGAGGGGCGTGACTTCAAACTGTGACTCTCGCCCCAGCGCCGCGCATATTCGTTTTCAAAGTGTGCAACAGCTTCAAAGATGGAGGGCGCTTTCTCTGCAAGATGTAGCTCTCGCTGAAATGCCGCGCGCGTTCGCCCCCAAACCTTGCAGCAGTTTCATGGATTGGGCACAGGTCATGTTTCAAATGCGGTTCTCGCCTCAGCGCCGCGCGCATTCGCCTTTTTCACAGCAACCGGAAGGATGGAGGACCGCTCTTTTCGAGACTCTTGAGCCTGGAGGTTCGCGGGAGACTCACGGGAGAGGCTCGCTGGAGACATCTTGAATTTGCAAAGCCCGAAGCCTCAGCACATGTAATAACTCACTGATACAAGGCGGCTCGTTTTCAAAATGGAGCTCTCGCCTGCGACGCCGTCAGAATTAATAACCACAAGCAAAACTTGTGCATCAAATACACGGATGGGGCGCGCTCCTTCTTCGAAAGAGGGATATCGCTGGACACCTCGTTCAACAGGATAATCATACTTCGTTCGTTTCCTGATTACGCGCCAAAAGGATGCGCGGCACTTCCTTGTCAAAGCGGGGCCCTATCCAAAATGGCAGGCCAAAATACACTGTGATTGATCCAAGGGAGCGCTTCTTGCAGACGGAAAGAAAACTTGCAGGGACGCATGGCGAGGGGACCCTGAGACGGGAGGGTGCACTGCTGCATCGCTGATACATCTTAGCTTTACTCTGGCGCCCCCCCATCCTCCCGTCCTCCCCATCCCCTTTTCCGCCCTCCCCCGTCAACCTCCCTCCTATTCGTCCTCCCTCTCCTCCTCCTCCCCCTCCCCCTGCCTGCCCCCTCCTCGCCTTCCTCCCCCGTCCTCCTCCTCGTTGCCCCTTCTCGTCCGCACCCTCCTCCCCCACACCCCCCTTCCCCCTCCACCTCCCCCACACCCTCCTCCCAGTCGTCTTCGGGCCCTCCGGCCCGCCCCTGCCTGTGCAGGGAGTGTCCCGGGAACGGCGTTGGGCACGCGGGCGCGGCCATCGCGGGCCCGTCCATCGGGGGAGCGCGGGCGGGGCGACGCCAGCGCGGACGGGGGGGGGCGGCGCGGGGGGACGCGAGCCGCTCGGGCCTGCCTGCCTTGGGAGGAGGAGGACGACGACGACGAGGACGATGACGAGGAGGAGGAGGAGGAAGAAGAGGAGGGCCAGCCAAGACTCATCAACGATACTGGAATTAGCCCTCCATCCAAGCTCCCCCCAAGCCTCAGGCCCTTACAAGGAATCGTACTCACTAGGGGGAATGCCCCGTTGGAAAATAACCGTTTGAAAATTCTGAACGGTGCCACATGGGACTTCAACGCCGCGAATCAACGTTACAGTTGCGTGTTGACGGTCCCAAACCGTGCCATAAGACCTTGTGGGATTTCCGTACAACGAATCACTGTAAGTGTTGCGCCTTGACCAATCCGACATCGTGCCAAACACCATGCTAGGTACGTTAGTCATGAAAACATTGGAACTGCTGTAAACTTTTGAAACAAAAAACGTGCGCGCGGCGTTGGGGCGATAATCCTGCGTTCTCAAACAACAGTATATATACATCTACATATACATATACGTATCGATATACTTATATACGCATTATGTGTAGCCCTCCATCCGTAACACGGTTGCTTGTTCAAGAAACGAACATGCGCGACGCTGAAGTGAAAACCACATTTTGAAAACGGTCCGCCCTCCATCCGTGAAATTGTTGAAACCTTATAAACCGAACGTGCGCGGCCCTAAATCGAGAGCCACCTTTTGAACAAGACCCGCCATCCAGGCGTGAATATGCAGCAAACCTTTGAAGACGAACGCGCGCGGCGCTAAGGCGAGAAGAAAAGTTTGGAAGCCACACGCCCTCCGACCACGAAGCTGCTGCAAATTCCCAGCCTCAGGATCATGACAAGAGCGGAAACATCAGGCGAAACGCCTGGCCCGCCCTTTCGACCGGCCTCAGGGTTCGACAGGGAGGAGTCACTGATACGGAAAGAGGAGCGGAGGAGGCCCAATGCAAACCCAAGACCAATCTCCAAGTTCCCTCTTCACAAATGCCGCCAGGATGAACTACCATTGCGGGGAGTGCCCCATTGCTGTCTGATTATTGTCACCTTTTTCAAAAGACTTTCCCCGGGATTCCAACGCCGCGAATCAACGGTCATGCCTCGTGCCAGAACGCCGTTCGTGGGACGTCAACACCGCAAATGACCATCAGTGTGGCGTCCTGACGATCCTCAACCGCGCAAGAACACAATTCCTGGATCTTCTAACGCACGGAGTTCTAAAATTGCTGAAGGGGCTTTTAAGAATCATGCACACGGCGCCAAGTCGAACGCCGCGTGTCGAAGAAGAGCCGGCTTCCATCCGTGAAACGCTAGTAAACTTGAAGGCGATGATTCAGCGTTTCCTCCTCTTTTCTGGATGTCTCATCGACCCGTTAGACCTACAATCTGGATATCGGAAACTCTGTGGTCGCTGAGCCAGCCATTGTTCGAGCTTGTCGCTATTGCGTTGCCATACCTCTGCGCTGGATTGTCCGCATTTCAGTTTGGGGGGCTGCCCGGAAATTCATACATTTCCAGGCGTGTCTCCAGAATTTGACTTCTGCAACTTCCGCATGGGAAACTGCCAAAATTGTGGTCATGGTTGGCAGTTTCTTTGTTTTCTGCAGCGTCGAGTTCGGCGTTGCTGAAGCGCCGCTGCAAACGGTTGACGTTGTCCGCTAAGGACTTTGCAAAAAAAACTGTTTGTGCCGCTCTCATGTCCCTCATCACCATCACAAGCTGGCACGCCCATATCCGTGTTAGAAAGTGACGTAGCGATTGCCACTGAATCAGCATTGGCGCTTCGCTGCTAAGATGTGCAGATGCAAGCAGGCGCAGCATCCAAGAGGCCTCAAGACAGCCAGAAGATGGTCCAAGGTAGCTGAGCATGGCTCAGGACAGCCTCCGACACCCTCTATCCGCCCGAACATGGCTCAACAAGGCAGCCTCAAGGCAGCCTGAACATGGCAGCGTGAACACGGCACCTGAACATGGTCGCAGATAGCCTCAAGGCAGCCTGAACATGGCTCAAGACTGCACCAAGGAGGCCTCAAGAAAGCCTCCGATCGTGTCTGGATGGGCTGGTGGGGATACTTTTTTTGGTCGGCGGCTCCGAGGCAACGGACAGGGAGCGGAAGCGGCGTCCGGGTCACGGTACGGGGCTAATTTGCAAGCAAATGTCGCCAGAGTCGGACTGGTGGGGATACGCGACACGTCAAGAATTTCCAGCTGCCAGCTGCAAGCGCACACGGGGCCGCCCCCTCTGGTCAACCCCATCTGGCCCATGCGACGCAGCGGCTGGTCGCTTCTTCGCCCGAGCCTGCTCTGAGATCACAGATGCGCGAGCTAAGGGATGAGAGTCTCTAGGAAACAAAAAACGAAAAACGTTTTGGGCCAAGATGGTAACAGCAATGAGATCCGAAGAAATCTTGAACTCTATGGAAAGACGTCCAGATCCCGGGGGATCTGGAACGCTACCGGTTACCGGGAGGTCCCACACGGAGGTCCCCAACACTGACCCCGACCCAGGCGCTGGAGACGCATTTTTTTATATTTGGGGGATGCCTTCTTGGGTCGATGTTGAACAGATGTCCTTCCCAGCTTGGATCACCAAGCCCTCGATTGCAATGCCATACCAGCTCCATTTGGGGAGACGCCTTGCGACCATGTTGACGACTTGTTCGGCCTATAATCGGCCGAAGGTCCCCAACACCAGGCAAGACCCGCCCCAAACCCGCCAAGACTTTGGTAAGATGTCATCGATACTGTGTCGGTTGTTGAACGACTTGGGTTCGAAATTGTCTTGTTTTCTGGCCATGGTTTGTGGCCAACGTGGTCCAACTTATGCTCCCGACAGGTTGGCGGCACCAAGCAGTGAGATTTCCCTTCCATACATATATCTATATATATATAGATTAGAACCATCGCGCGCTTCGCGCGCGCTCAAGTTCTAAATTGGCTTGATGGGCTAACACATGGAATATCATGTAGGTCGCTTCTTGCATCCAGGGACTCTCTTGGAGGCCCTGCGCAAGCCTCGGAGTCGTATAGAACGGGAGCTGCGGAACCACAGAAATCATGAATTCCCGTTCGGTATTCAACGATTTGGGGCCCTCAAAAACTTCCTGGGTTCGTTTCCTGAGGTGGACCTTAAGTATAGTCTGTTGTGCAAGAGTAGACAGGGGGGCGATCTTGAAAAAACTGAATGGTGGGATTCCTTTTTTTCCCAGTTGCCCTGCCTAGGCTGTGGGTTCGAAACTGTCTGGATGTAGGCCACTGTCTCTTGGGATGCCTCTCGTGGTCTTCATGCAAAAATAAGCATGGGGTGAGTTTGAAAAAAGGAAAGGGATCTCGATTTCTACGGGTTTCAGGAGCAGCCATGAAGACACGAAGACGGTCTAAGAGAGTGCCAAGACAGCGTCAGAGAGTTCAACAGCATTCCCGAAAATCTGCGCATGTGACCCCGAAGTCTTGATGGGGGCAGGAGGAAAAGGATATGGAGTAGGAGCCCCAACTTCAAAAAAAAAATATATACCTTGTTTGTTCGTTCCTCGGCCTTTGAGCTAACCGAAAGAGTGAGGTACGAGTGATGACGTTGTGTTGGGGCGAAGCCCTTAAGGGAGAGGTCCAGGAGAGGGGTGAGGATGGACGCAGGGTTGGTGATGGCCGTTTTTGGGTGTTCCCTCGGGTTTTTCCGTCCCAGAAGACCAAGACAGCCCCAAGACGCTCCAAGGAGGCCCCCGAGACGCCCCAAGAGGCGCCCAAGAGGCGTCCCAAGAGGGCCCCAAGAGGCCAAAATCCTCGATTTTCCGTGGGGGAACGTACATGTTCCCCACATCCAAAGTGGGGTTCTTGGTTTCTCTGGACACCTCGCGCATGAACCCCACCTCACCTCACCTCCCACCCCTTTCCCCTTTCACTCACCATCATCATTGTCATCATCATCACCACGCATCGTCACTACTCATCATCATCCTCATCGCCGTCACCATCAGCATAATCATCATCATACTCATCAACAACATCATCATCATCCGATCAACCATCATCATTACCACAGTCAACAGCATCACCATCATCACCATCATCAACCAACATCACCACTCATCATCAGATTCGCCATCATCCTCATCATCGTAACCATCTCCATCACTCGATCATCTAGCCAGTCATCACCATCATCACCACCACCATCATCACTCACCCACTCACTCACTCACTCACTCATCACTTCGTCATCACTCACTCCCTAGCTTGAATATGGATGAAAGTTTCACGCGGGAGTCCCACCAGCCCTTTGGGCGTGAGTGGTTTAGAGAGCCCGCTCTGTCCTCAACCTCCCTTCTTCCCTTTCGGGGAGGGGTTTACCCCTCCCCCTACCCCCTCCCCCTGGGCCTGGAGAGGGAGTCCCGAGCGGTGTCAGGGGGGTCTTTTTCGACTCGTGGGAGGGCCAAAAAACGACGACCCTCACGAGGATTCTTGCCCCGACGGGGGGACCGAGTTTGGCCCCTCTGCTCTTCTTCGAACCAAAAATCATTGATTTTACTACGGTTTTGGCCCCATTTGGGCGTCCTGAGGGGGCCGCGCTCATCTTCCTTCATAGCAAAATCATTGATTTTACGAATGTTTTGGGCTCATTTTGTCCTTTTCAGGGGGCAGCTCTCACTGGCGCTTCTGAGGAGGTCGCACGAGGCTCCAAGATGGCCCCAAGAGGCCCCTAGGAGGCTCCTCAGAGGCCTCCAAGAGGCCTCCCGGAGGCTCCCAAGCGGCCCCAAGAGGCCCCCAAGAGGCCCCCAAGAGGCCCCCAAGAGGCCTCAAGAGGCCCCAAGAGGCCCCCAAGAGGCTCCCCAGAGGCCCCCACGAGGCCCCCAAGAGGCCCCCACGAGGCCCCACGAGGAGCCCGAACGACTCACACCACGACGAGGGGCCCGAACGACTCACACCACGAAGAGCCCGAACGACTGCTACTGCTACTGGTACTGCTACTGCTCGTGCTACTCCCACCAGCCCTTTGGGCGTGAGTGGTTTAGAGAGCCCGCTCTGTTCTCAACCCCCCTTCTT